ATATATATATATATTGCCAAAATAGCACAACCAGTGGAAATCTGGACTGGTGTGGCATGAACTATGAAATTGGCAGCAATATTTATACATGGTGCCATTGCATCCATTTGTTTATTCATTTACTCATGTAATGAAATTGTGTGAATTGTCTATTAAGAGGCTGGTGCTAGGTGAGGCAGTGGAACTGCAAGTGCACATCCTCCATTGCTCATTGGGAAGCAACAGTAAATGGGGGGTGCTTACCAAGGGACATGGTAGAGTTTAGCTCTAAAATGTCCCCTAAATATCTCCCAAAGTCTCATGTGTTTGGAGGGTGACTGGGTCAAGGGGACACCATACTCAGCAAAGAATTCACCCATTGATGAGTTCAGTAGCTGAATCTGCTGCTGGGAGGTGAGGCCTGGTAAGAAGTGGGTCACGGGGCGTGGCTAGAGAGGTCCATCTCCCTCCTCCACGTCTCCCTTTTCTCTCCGCCTCCTGGCTGCCATGATGTGAGCAGCGTTCCTGTGTCACGCCCTCCTGCCATTCTGTTTCTGCCTCGGAGCTGCTAGCTTTGGACTGAGCCCCCAGGAAAGTAGGAACCAAATAAACTTCTTCTCCTTTAAGTTGTGAGTGTTGGGTAGCGGCCTGAAAGTGATAAAGACAGGTGCAACTGAACTTGACTGAGTCAAAGAAGGCCTCTGGAAAGAAGTGACCCCCCTGAAATGACCCACAGCAAGAAGGATGAGGAGGAGGTGACCATGTAGGAAGAAGGGTGAGCGTGGTCCCTAAAGGAGAGTGCCCCACTGCAGGAACAGGGGTGTGGAGGTCAGGAGGTGGGAACAAGCCCAGTCTCCTCCAGAAACTGGGAGGAGTTCAGGCTCTCTGAAATGGGAGTGAGGTGGGGAGGAGAACGTAGCAGCCCATTCAGGCTCTCCAGAACCCGGAAGGGCCTGGATGTATTCTGGGTCTATAGGAGAAAGAGGTACTCCTGAGCATCTTTTATCAGATGTTCCAATCAGTAAACATTTGGAGAACTCATCTCTAATGTACGAATATTTACCTATTTATAACTATTATACTGGTTTCACTATGCTCCTGTGTTTACCTAAAAATGTATACAAAGTTAAGTATGCAGTCGAATGAACTAATTTTGAATGTGCCTAAAATTTTTAAAGCAGAATTTCATTTTTAAAAACACACCAGTGCCTCCACTTTTAAAATGTAGGCTTTGTTTTCAAATGGTGGCTGCTTAGGTTTGATGGGTCTCGCTGAGGGCATATCAGTGAGGCCTTCCCTGACCATCTTATTTAAAACTACAAACCCTTCCCTGTCATTTCCCAGCTCCCGTGCCTGTTTTCTCCTGTTACCCTTAAAAATTTTGTCATGTATCTTTTTTTCTCTATCTGTTAATGCAAAGACTATCTGTTGGTTTCCTTTCTTCTTCTTGGGTCCCAGAGTACTCCTTGGCCTTCAGTAGATGCTCAATAGTAGTTGCATGAATCGGGTGAAGGCCATGATTAGTGGTTGTGGATAGGAATCCAATGATCATCCCAATAATTTTAAATGTTTTCTTTGAATTTTTGTTAGATCCACTTATTCTTTTAATGGGTAGTATGAATGGTGACCAAGCACTTGGTTTCAAGATAAGAAAGATGCTGGAATCACTAATGCATCCCCACGTCATTTTTCCTTTTAATACCATATGTCCAGTGGAAAGTGGTGGTAATCTCAGCACATAGCAAGACTGAGGCAGGGGGATAGTGAATTTGGACTTAGTGAGATCCTGTCTCAAAATGAAAAATATAAAAGGGCTACAGATGTAGCTCAGGGCAAAGACCCTGGGTTCAATCTGTAGTATGGCAGACAAATAATCCCCAAATTAAAATGAGGTAACATTATCTGAAAGCCTGCCTAACAAGTTAGATGTCAGGGTTTTGTGTTGGAGAGGCTGAGAGCAGTGTGCACGGATGTGTCCGTAGATTTTCTCTGCCTGTGACGCCTGGACTCGCTGAGTGTACCTCTCCTATTGTGATCTGCCCATGTGTGAGTGCACTGGTCAGGGTCAAACTGCATGTTGAGATTAAGAGTAGTAAAGGTGAACTTTCCTACAGTGGAACCTTGGTTCACAAGTTCAATTCTCTCCATGATTCTGTTCACAAACCGATGGGACAGGAACTAAATCACATTTTCCCGTAAGGTCAGACATTAAACCTAACCATTGAATTTGATTCAGTTCTCAACCAACCTGGCTTATGACCAGAATTGTGGAAAGAATCAAGTTCATGAACCGAGGCATCACTGTATTTTTAGATAAAAATCACTACATGTCAGATTCCTAGTGTGTTCTCTTGCCTCAGTGACACACCTTGAGCACTTTGCAGTCTCAGAGGTCCTGGCTTTGTGTGGGAGGCATGTTTTTGAGTATTTTCTTCCCTCTGTTGTCTTTACCTGAAGAAGTCCAGGTGGGTAGGGTCTTGGTTTTCAGTGTTGAAGAGCCCTCATTGGGAAGTACACCTCTTGCAATGCCTATTTAAACAATAGCCTGCCATGGGTCACCTCACCCATCTCCTTTAGCACTACTACTTTGTCAATATGTAAAACATAGTTATTTATTAGTGACAGTGAGCTTTTTCATGGCTGTTTGTTGTAACTGATTTAGCTGTCTTTTTAACCAAACCAGGACCAAATAAACACTGAAGTTGTAATTTAGTTAATTTATGGAGATTTGCTAAGTGAGAATTATTTTCATTTAGTATGCATCCCATTATCCACCATTCCTTTCTTTTCTTTTTTTTTGGTACTGGGTCTCGAACTTGGGACCTTGTGCTTGTAAGGCAAGTGATAGAACCACTGAGCTAAATCCCTAGCCCCACCTGCTATTTCTATGTAGTATTTGTGACCTGTGAAAAATAACATAGGTGGAATGTGGTTATTATTATTAATTACTATTATTTTTAGTACCAGGGATCGAACTCAGGGCCTTGAGCTTGCAAGGCAGGCCTGGTGCTACTGAGATAAATCCCTGGCTCAGATAAAATATTATTTGACATATTTCTTTGAGTTTTTTTAGAATATAAGTCCAGGAGAAACTGATATTTTTCTTAATAAAAATCATATGTGGACCAGTGTCTTATTAATGCATGTCCACTCCCCAAAGTACAATCAATAGTCTGAATTAGAAAAAGCACTTTGTACTTTTTTGTTTTTTTGAGACAGGGTCTCATCACTGTAGCCAGGCTGGCCTGAAACTCATGATCCTCCTGGCTCAGCCTCCTGAATGCTGGGGTTGCAGGCATGTGCCACCACCCCCAGCCCTTTTCGAATTTCTTTCATTGGCTCTTCAGACTTAAACCACATAGAAAGCCCATTCTATAACACTCACTCAGGGAACCAATGGTAGTTGAGTGTATCTGCCTAATTCTAGCTGATATAGGCCAAGTTCCATTGCAGGAACAGTGCTAGGAAGGAGTACTCTTAAAATTAGGACTTGGAGCTATTGTTTACTTCAGGAAGAGGTAGGCAGTTGGTTGCTTAACCACTAAATGGGTTTGTGTGGAAGCCAGAGTCAACTGCCCAACATTTATTGAAATGATGCTTTAGCATTCCTTATAAATTAATCTCATCTATGCGAACAGCCTTGCTGTTGGTCTCTTAATTCAGTCCTACACGGGGCTAGTTCAAATGACTTGTTAAAGTCCCTGTAGCTCTGAGACTCAATTACTCAAATTCAGGGAGCATAATCTAATTGAATCATTTCAATAAGAAATCACGATTTTCATCTAAATTGTAATTTAATACACTGCAATGAATTATACTAAGGCTATTACAGTATCCTTTCAACTCCAGCAATAAAGGCACTGCTGTAGTCACAAAGCAGGGCCAAGTCTTCTATCTGGGTAGATTCTTTGAAGGTGGAAGGCATTTCCTTACTGCCTCTCCTCTCTCTGAGTATGTCCCTACATCATGCTTGTCTAGTTTGGATGTTAATGGTGTGTGTATCTGTGCAAGAGGTACATCCTATGCCCTGGGCTCTTTGTGAAGTGAACGGGAGGAAGAATGCTAAGAATGTGGTGAGCGACCTGGACTGTACAGAACAGGAGCATTTATTTTTGTCCATTTGGCAATCAGGACTGACCGCCTGGGCTGTAGGATCAAATCTAGAGTCCGCAGTAACCCTAGAAGTGGAAAAATAAGAATCAGTCGCATCAGAATCCAATTTGCATCATTTGGATGGCCACAATCCTAGACAACAATGAACATGGACTTTGTCTTGAAAAACTTACATGTAATATCATAAATCACAAATTCAAAGGGCTTGGGAGGCAAAAATAAAAACCAAAACGTTGCAGTTTTCTTAGTAAAGCATAAATAGTATCATACTCATGCTAATCATACTCAGGCTATGATTTTGTGATTTCTAACATTTTCCCATTATAATTCAAGTTTCTTGCAGAATTTGGGCCTAAATTTCAAAAGTTAAAAAAAATAATGAGATGTTAATTGGCATGTATTATTAAATGGTACAGAGTGAGACAGAAAGCCCTTCTCCTTCTAAGTAGCCTGTTCTCTTTCTCCTACTCTGCCAGATATTTGGCCATTTCTCTCTCACTCTACAATTCAGTTCTTTGCTGTGCAGCCTGCAAAATATAATAACTTCTAAGCAGTGTGTAAAACAAAGTGCTCAATTCACTTTATTAAAATATCCAATAATAATTGATTTAAAGGCAATAAAATGTGTTCATTAGAGGGTTTATATTCAAGAAATATTGAAAGTATACCTAAAACTGTCACTTTTATTGTGAATGAACAGGATAATATAATTTGAAAAGAGTGTGATCATACTAAAGATTTGTCCTGCAGCATTATCTGATAGCTCATAAAGTGCTGAAATTTAATATGATGCTTTCAGTCAGTTTAATTGAAATTTAATTGCCACTTTGGGCAGAAGGTTTAGATCTGATCAATAAAATATTAAAGATTTTGTGCTTTCGCTTGGAACAGCTTCTTTAGCAATGTATCAAGAGGACCCTATATTTTCGGAAATATTTGTTTGTTATACTTCACACAGTACTCAATATCACTTTCTCATCTGAAAGTTTTAATGTGCTGTGCAGACAAATAGTGGAAATAATAAAGCAATAGTTGATCCATTTAATTACAACACGATGAAAGGAATAATGGTCACCTTCAGATTCATGAGAAAGTCATTAATGTAAAAGAGCAATAAATATTTTGAAATGTCAAACCTCAGAAAGACAGAGCCCAACTTGAGCTGGATTGTAAATCAGACTAAGAGAAGGACCTTGAAAAAAAGATGGTTCTTTGGTATTTTAGAAATAATTACTAATACAAAAAGGGTAATGATGAAACTATAAATTACATTAAAAAGGGCCATTAGAGAAGGATTAGTTTATAAAGCTGAGAGATGGTTCTTAAAATTGTCCTGCTGGTTATTTCTACTTTTCATCTTATTCAGGAACCCCCTGCTCAATTACCTGATTATTAATAAACTAATTAATCACTACTTTGGAGTTCAAATACTAAAGTGATAACAACTTTCTCCTTTTCAGGGACTCCCATGAGTTCACCACATTTGTTATATTTTAGAAGGGGAGAAAGTTGGAAATTTGTTAAAATTTATGAATAGTGAACTGAAGAGTGATTTCAAGGTAAGCTGTGTCTTTCCTCATATGTCTTAAAAGTTATGATTTCTTTTCAATCACTATCTTTCAACCATGTCTTTGATATTTCTGTGGCCATGGTGTTTTCTACTCTGTCAAAATTCTTTTCATAACAATCCCTTATTACCAGTAGCACTTTTCCAGAGTCTCATATGCAAGAATATACATTTCTTTACTCACAAGTCTCTCATGAGATTCTAAGTTCAATAGCATGGCATACTGTTTTATTTGGTTCAGTACATATTTCAACTATATTTTTGTTTTCAGCCATTTTCAAGCAAGATCAATTATCTCCCTCATAATCACTCTTGCTTTTCTTCTTTGTCCACCTGCCTCACATTTCTCTTTGTGAGACATGTGACAGTACTACAGTTTTTAATTTCAAAACTGAATTGCAATAGACCATTTTCTTTTGAAGAATACATATTGTTTTTTCTCTCATGACCAGTCAAAGGCAGTTAATTGTGTGACAGCTTGATGCTGGACATTATTCTCAGTTAGGTCCTGGAAATGCAACAACTGCCTGAGAAAATCCTTCTGCCTTCAGGGAACTTACGTTCTGACTGGGGAGAAAGACAATAAACATAGACAAATGATAATTTAAAGTTCTGCCAAGTACTATGAAGGAAATGAAATAGATTAACATGACAGAAGGTGACTGTGAGTGCGCGTGTGTGTATGTGTGTTGGTACACAAGTGGATTTATTTCCTTCCTTAGGAAGTGACATCTAATGGTGAAGGGATGGACGGCTTTGTAAGGATTTGGAAGAGGGCATTCTAGACAGAAGACACAGCAATGTGAGGACACTTAAATTGGCATGAGGCTGATCTCAGGTATACAAAGAATATCTGTGTGGCAATCATACAGTGTTCAAGAGGTATGTTGGGAAGATATGACATCAGAGAAACCCAATAGTGTACCCATGATAGTCTTATGAGTGAGAAGTTGTGGTTTCTTTTTCAGTGCTGGGGATTGAACCCAGGACTTCATGCATGGTAGGAAAACACTCTGCCACTGACTTATACCCTCAACCCTCCAAGTGATGATGTAATGGGAAGCTGTGGCAAGGATTTAAGCAGTGGTAATGATGACCTATGTGTATGTGTGTCTGGTAGGTGGAGTGCTGAGCGACAGGATATGAATCGTGCATTGGACAGATGATTCATATCCGTGTGGACCCTGGGCCATGAAGAATTGAGAGCAGAGGCACAAAATAATAGACCATTGCAGCCATCCAGGCAAAACACTTTGACCAATTGTAGTCATGGATATGTTGATAATTTGTCAAATTTGGTATGCATTTTAGAAGTCAAGACCAAATGTCATACTGATGAATTGGATATTAGGGTGGTATGGGTGAGAAATAATTTGAGACTTGTACGATTTTTTTTTTTTTTTTGGTACCGGGGATTGAACTCGGGTCCTTGTGCTTGCAAGGCAGGCCACAGAACCACTGAGCTAAATCCCTGGCCCCGAGACTTGTAGGTTTTGAGCTTGAGCAACTAGGTGAGTGATGGTGCCATTTATTGAGGTGGAAAAGGCATGATATCAGTAGAAAGTATATTTTTAGAGAAAACCAGCAGTTATCTTTGGCCCCAACCATTTAGAATTAGACTGAGTATCTTTGGATAACTAAGTAAAATTTCAAGGCAGTTTGCTCTACCAGTTTGAAACTCAAGAGAAGTTTTTGGCTTGGGATATAAACTGTTTCATTAGCAGGTGGATGGTATTTGAAACTGGATGGGATCATGTGAAGGATTATAGGCAGAAAAGAGAGGAGCAAACACAGTTCCTTAGTGTGCTCTACCATTGGTGCCCCAACAGAGTAGGGAACCAGCAGAAGAGGCTGAGAAGCCATGACCAAGGGAAGGTGAAGGATAATCCATCAGTGTGGCACTCTTGAGGCATGGAAAATACAAAGACTCAAGTTGGCTGTTGTTGACCATTAAGACCTATACTTTTATTTTATTTTTTTCCTCATTGAGCTTATTGGTACATTTTAGGTATACAGTACAGTTACATTCATTATTAGGATCTTGTTCCTTTACCTGACAGGTCTTGGTTCTCATTTTTTCCCCTTGTCCCTGCCCTCCCTTCACCCCCCTCCCCTCCCCATTTACAAACACTTTATTTCCATTTTATCCTATTTTTTTCTTTTCCCTCATACCTTTCCCCTACCCTTCCCACTTTCCCTACACCTTTAGCCCTTTTCTATTTAGCATTGTCAATTATCTCATTAGGATCTTATGTACTATTACAGTTTTTCACACCAGAGAAACTATTCAGTATTTATATATGTGTGACTTATTTATTTCACTTAGGAATATATCCTCATCTTCTTTATCCAGTTTGCAACTGATGGGCAAATGGGCTGTTTCTAAGTTTTAGTTATTACAAACTGTGCTGCTATAAACGTAGGTGCGCACATATCACTGTGGTATGATTCTTTTAATTCTTTTGGAAAGATACCCAGCAGAGGGATTGCTGGGTCAAATGGAACCTCTAGTCCCAGCTCTTTGAGGTATCTCCATATTTATTTCCATAGTGGTTGCACAAGTCTGCACTCCCACCAACAATGGAGAAGGGTTCCTTTCTCCCCACAACCCCACCAACATTTGTTATTGTGTGATTTCTTGATAGCAGCCATTCTTTGTGGGGTGAAGTGGAATCTCACAGTGTAGTTTTCATCACATTTCTTGAATGATCAGTGATGTGGAACATTTTTCATATATTTACTTGCTGCTTTTGCTTCTTTGTCTGAGTAATGCCCATTTTTGAATTGGGTGTTTATATTTGAGGGGGCTGGTTGTTTTGATTCTAGATAAGAGTCCTTTGTCTGAGAAGCAGATGGTAAAAATATTTTCCCACTTTGTAGGTTTGCATATAACAAAACATCATCCAAAAGTGAGGAAAAAGGAGGACATGAGCTGAGGATTTGGGTAGAGCAAAGGTGTTTCAATTTGGATTCTCCAGAGAAAAGAACCAGTCAATTCTGCTGTATATATGCAGTCTCTATATTTGTATGTGTTGAATCCAGGAATTCAACGAACTGTAGGTTAAAAACATTTGGAAAAAACTGCATCTGTACTGAATACAGACTTTCCCCTAGTCGTTATTCCCCCAAGCAGAAAGCATAATAATTATATGCATATGAGCTGCATTGTATTAGATATTATAAGTAGTCCAGAGTAATTTAAAGTATACAGAGAATGTGTGTGGGTTACATGCAAACACTACAGCATTTTTTATAAGAAGATTAAGTGTGTTCATATTTTGGTGTCTGTGGAGGGTCCTGAGACCAAACCTCTGTGGATACTAAAGGATAGCTCTCTCTTTAATAGGTTGGTGAAGGTCTGCACACATGGGAAAAGTCATCTGATTTATTCAGTCTACCAATGGAAATGTAATGTAAAGCAGATTAAAATCCTCATAGAATATTATTTAACCCCATCTAGAATACTGTTTAACCAAATATGTGAGTACTGTGTGGCCTGGTGAAATTGAAATGCAAAATTTGACAATCAGTCAAAACACTAAAGCAGACATCTTTAAAAAGGAGAAAATTTAATGTAATAGGTAAACTAGCATCACTCAATATCATTTTTAATGTTACACGAAGAGCTCATTAATTGTGAGTGGATGATTTTCTCTGGCAATACTTATTGAGTAAGTAAGTTTGCTCAGGGTTGATGCATTTCCAGCTGAAAGCAATGGAGGGAGAGTGGGGCTGCACCTGTAATGACGTGAACAAGGGGGAGTGTATAGCACAAGGTAATGTAGGGCGAGTTAGGAGGGAACTAAGGTGGTCAGCAGTGAGGCGGGGAGTGAAATAAATCGTAGCAACAATTCTTGGTAGGGTCATGAAATTATCAGAGCATTAGCATAGGTGAGCTAGGGTAGAAAGTGACAGAAGATGGTTACCAGACAGGATGTAGAATGTTAAAGACCAAAACTTCGAAAGTGATGCCATTGGTGGTGATATTTAGGTCCTTAGTACAGCCATGTAAAAGGTTAAATGCTGGAGGAGGCTGAATTCAGGAGGTCAAGGAACAAAGAGGATGTGTCTTTTGATGTCTCCTGTTCATGCGAATTGAAGTTATTAAAACATGAGTTTTAAGCTGGGCGTGGTGGTACATGCCTGTAATCCCAGCACTTGGGAGGCTGAGGCAGGAGGATCACTGTGAGTTGGAGACTAGCCTGGTTTACATGGTGAGTTCCAGGTCAGTCTCAACTACGTAGTGAGACCCTGTCTCAAAAAACCAAAAAACCAAAACCAAAACCAAAACCAAAAAACAAAAACATGAGTTTTAACGAAGCAATGGTTTTTAAGGAGAGACAATTTGTTGACAGCCAAAAGACAAGGAACTTGGGTCTTAAGGAAGAAACTCCCATCATCTATTGGGAGGTGTAAGAAGATAATGTCGTTAGGGAACTTTCAGGTTTGGATCAGATCAAAAATGCAGAGAACATTCAGAAAATGTACTGCAGGAATAGGAAAATTTGATGGTTATGGACAATGCTCTATAATAGGCTGAGTGGAAAAGTCTGGTTATACAGACAAGGGTAGAGATGAAGCCAATTTAGAGGAAAAGTATAAATTTAAACTCTGAGGTGGGATCAAAACGCTTGGATTGATTCAGGATATCAAGAAAGCCATGATGGTACAACTACAGACAGTCATGAAATAAGACTTTCCTAACTGCAATAGAAAGTGGCAGGATTTATGGCATATCTGTGTTGGAAGTGTGTGTGTGTGGGGAGGCTCTTGTGTGGGATTAATGGCAATGTATTCTTTACTGTAATACATTAAAAAATAAACATTTCATCCTATTTGTTGATTGTACCTTGAGTGTTCATCCATGTAGGATGTTTAGATTAATGGTAACTGAGGTGAGAGAGATGTGGGACATAAGTTTGGCTCAGGGAGTAGGAATATTATTCA